TTGTTTATCATAGAGCCATCACTGATCTGTCCAACCTTCCTCCATCTCCTCGTCCTCCGTTCCAAAGGTGGATTTGGTTGCATTTGGAATCACCAACCAACACCAAAAGGATCCCAGGTCTGGAAAACCTGTTCAATCTCACTCTCAGCTACAGACAGGATGCTGATATTCCTGTACGGATGCGCTTGATCACCAGGAAAAAACCTAATGAGGATTTTGTAATTCCCAAAAAGGACAAACTGGTGTGTTGGATTGTAAGTAACAAGGATCCATCAACTGGTGTTGACACAAGGAACGTTTTTTACAGGGAATTCAGCAAATACATCCAAGTGATTTTGTTCGGAAAGGCTTATTCAAGGTTTCTGGGTTACGACGACTACTATCCAACCATGGCTAGTTGCAAATTTTACCTTGCCTTTGAGAACTCCATCCACAAAGACTACATCACTGAGAAGTTAAATGGGCCACTCGCGGCAGGTACCGTCCCTGTGGTGTTGGGTCCTCTGAGAAGAAACTATGAGAACTTTGTTCCTGCCGAGTCCTTCATTCATGTCGATGACTTCCCAGATCCAAAGTCACTAGCCGAATATCTGCTTCAGCTGGACAAGGATGAAGATGCATATCGCAAGTACTTTAACTGGAGGAAACATCTCACTCCAAGTCCTCATTTAATATTGCAGAGACAAGAGTTTATTCTGGCTATTTGCACTGCCTGTGACTATATCGCACGACGCAGGGAATATAAAGAAGCTCATGATCTCTATAATTGGTACTTCAGTTAATGTCACCTCAGGTTTTGGAGTGATTTAGTGATTAATTTTACTCCACAAATAGTTTTTATATTAATTTTAAATAATTTATCACTTGAGTTTGAATCTTTTCATCTGCAAATCCCTTTGAAATCACCTTTGGGTCATATTCAGGAAGAAAGGCAATTATAAGTTTGTGTGTGAACATAGGGTACTTATTCTTCATGTCTGTAATTGTTGTTGGCTGGTTGTTTTTCAAATACAAATGTCCTCATGTGCAGCTTGTTAGCAACACCATTTCTTTTTGTAATTTAAGTTTTGGTCATGTTAATTACATAAATATAAGGCAGTGTCTTTGAACCTGTCAACCCAACTCTGCACTCGTGTTTAAAAAGAAGCAATTTGTTGCTATTTACCAATGGTCCAAAACCTTATTTACACTCGTAAGCTTATTGTGCACTTAAAATACAATGCATTTAAAGTACTGCTACCTCATATTCATGATATTTTCGACGTAAAAGGTCAGATATAAAATCTTTTGTCGCCAGGACAAAAGAGGGCGCCTGAACTCCGAGTCAACGTGAAGACTGACGTTCATGACGTGCGCTGCGTCAGTGACGTCACGTGCGTGAAACGTGTTCTATACTACAGCCAAAGCAGTAGAGCTGTTCTGGATGAAGGAAACAATCCTGTCAGTTGTGTTTTAAGTCAGGAGACTAGGTTTGTTGTTTATCTTTAAGCGCATCAGATCTTTGTTTTATAACAGTTTAACGCTTTATTTTCTTTAGCACGTCTTCGTCTTAAGTCTTAACTCGTTTAAATGAATCACACCCCGTAGGAAATAGTTTATTCACTCCTTAAGCGAGTAACAAACCATTAAACAAACGTGTGCACGGGTTTAGGGTCATTTTGAGGTGATTTCTGCTTGTAATCACTAGGGTCCAGGTGCATACAAATGCACTTTTACAATTCAATCCAACAACTTTCATTCCTGTTATGGGAAATGCTATTACATCTTTAAGAATTGTATTTACCACCACATTTTACCTTAAGTTAATATGCTTTTTAGTTGCATAGGTTATGTTATATATTTCTATTTTGTAGCATGTTACTTTCAGAGGATATATTCAAAGTAATGTTCAAAATAACTTTTTTTTTTTATTTTTTTTTTTTAGAAGGACCATCGCTTTACTTCAATCTAAAGAACGTTTATGTTGGAAATGGAATGGAATAGAAATGGATGGAAATAATACTAAGTCCCTGAAAGGGTTAAAGCAGGTGTTTTCAAACTAGGGCCTGCAAGAAAGTGCGGGAGGTCTGTGGAAAAATATAGAGAAATAAATGAGATTAACTAAATAGATAAATAATTAGAATAAAATAATTAAATGAAGAATTTCATAAATTGGTTTTAAATAATCCATCTAACATTGCTATGTCAAAAAGAAAAATGTAACAATGACACATAATATAAAATAAATATTTTTTAAAGTAGTATTTATAATATATATATATATATATATATATATATGTGTGTATATATAGAAAGTAAAAATTAGGTCTTTATACAAAAAAATATATAGCTGCTTTTACATGAGTTTAGTCTGTTTTGATCTGATATTTCTCTGAAATGCTCTGCAGTGCCCTGTGTGCGTCATCATGCCGGTCCAGTGCAGTAACTGCGTCCAGAGACGTGCCGTGCTCAAACGGCCCAAGACCGGACACTCTCTCTGTAAGGACTGCTTCTTTTGGGCATTCGAGGAGGAGATCCATCAAACCATCGTGTCCGCTGGACTCTTTAACCGTGGAGAGACCGTGGCCATCGGTGCCTCGGGTGGGAAGGACTCTACCGTTCTGGCCCATGTGATGAAGGTCCTGAACGAGCGCTACGATTACGACCTGAACCTTCTGCTGCTGTCGGTGGATGAGGGCATCACGGGTTACAGAGATGATTCGCTGGAGACGGTGAAGAGGAACCAGCAGCAGTATGAGCTGCCGCTGAAGATCGTGTCTTATGAAGAGCTGTACGGCTGGACCATGGACGCCATCGTGAAGAAGGTGGGATTGAAAAATAACTGCACTTTCTGCGGTGTGTTTCGCAGGCAGGCGCTGGACCGAGGAGCCATGATGCTGAAAGTGGACAAGATATGCACAGGCAAGTAATCACAGTCTTTCACTGCCTTCTCCGGTTTGATCAAGCATGTGTGTGTGAGATTTTAGACATTCTGCAAGAAAAACCATGTGTTTCGTTACACACATGCACACAGACATTATTTCATACACGACATAGTCGTGACTCGTGAGATGCAAGAAACATAATCTGTAAATGCGCCCATAACGACAAAAGACAATACTTTATTGAACCTTTTCTGATAAGAAGTATGTATAAATGAAAGAATTTAAAATAAAGTTAAAAAGAATAAAACATTTAAAATAAATACAGAAAATAATAAAGGGAAAAAGTAAAAAAAAAAAATTTAATTAATTAAAAATGTATCATTTCTTCCTTTGTTTTCCTTTTGTTTATTTATGCAAGTTTGGTCCTCCATAACTTTGTTTTGTTTATTGAGCAGGTCACAATGCAGACGACGTGGCAGAGACGGTGCTGATGAATGTCCTGCGTGGAGATATCGCTCGTCTCCGGCGCTGCACCTCCATCAGCACGGCTAGTGACGGAGAGGGTGCCATCCCACGCTGCAAGCCCCTCAAATACGCCTACGAGAAAGAAATCGTCCTCTACGCCTATTTCAAGAAGCTTGATTATTTCTCCACCGAGTGCATCTACTCGCCCAACGCCTACCGGGGACACGCTCGCGCCTTCCTCAAAGACCTGGAGTCCATCAGGCCCAGCTCCATCATAGACGTCATCCACTCTGGCGAGACGCTCTCCATAAAGGAAGGGGTGAAGATGCCGGTGCAGGGAACGTGCTCGCGCTGCGGCTACATCTCCAGTCAGGCCCTGTGTAAGTCCTGTGTTCTGCTGGAGGGCCTGAATCGAGGTTTACCCAAACTGGGCATCGGGAAACATCACCGTCTGCACGGCAAAATTCTGGCTCAGGAGCCTTTGACCGAGCAGGAGGAGAAGAAACTGAAGGCAGTGGACTTCTGACACAAAATCAGGACTTGATTTTAAAAACTGGACATTTGAGTTACGTGTCATCTGTGTTTTAAAGATGCTCTGAAATGAATGTTCATAATGTGAGACGATTTTGGAAGTCTCCGCAATTTTGTATTTTTATTTTTTTATTTCAACCACAGTGGACTGAATGTAACACATCTTGTGTTAATGCGTTCGCTGAAAAAGCAGCGTACAAACCGCTATTCAAAATCAGAGATGCCTGTTTTAAAGACAAACATGAACCTTTCCAAGTTATGCCACGTTCACATAAGGAGAAATATTTCAAATGCTCATGATTTTTTTATTTATTTAAACAATATCATGACAATAAAGTTACTCATCATTTCTCCTTTTGTTTTTCAGTTTTTTTCCTGACATGTAAAGACGGAGTGGTTTATAGGTGTTTAATGTTCTTCAGTTTGTGACATGATAGAACGGATAATATGATTTCAGTGCATTTTAATCATATGCACACACACGTGATACGTGATCAGCTTCCTCTGGCTTTCAGGTTATTTATTTGATAATATTATATGATTATTATTCTTTGTTTATTTAGCAGAGACTTTATTATAGAATTGAACTGAAATAAAAATATATATTTGTCCTTGAAATAATTTTTGTGCTGCACATTTACACAAATACAGAGTGTCAGTGCATTAAATGAATCGTCTGTATCTGCGTATCTCAAATGCTTCAGGATCTCTTCTCTTCACTGTCTTGTGTCAATTCTCGATGTCTTTGAATGTTCACACAGCAGAGGAACCGCAGGTATAGGAGAATCACATGCATTATCAGCATGATCCACTAACCACAAAACAAACACATACTGACTTTCAGCATTTTCCATGAGAAATGCCCGTTTCTGTAATTCAAGCAAAGTCTCATTGTATTGAAAAAATACATTTTATTTCTTATTTTTCATTTATGATTCAAGTATTTTTCAAAGGAAAATTTATGCAAATGCAAAAAAAAGGAAAATAAAAATACATAAAAAATCTAATTTGTCCTAAAATAGATTGATTTTGGGTGAAATATGAAATTTAACCAGCTTTATTCCTTGAAATGAAAAGTTCCCGGCTCTTTCTCGACGCTGTTTCGCTCTTCGGCCGCCAGGGGCCGCTGCAGTGAAGTGAGTTCCTCTGTTCTGTGATGTTTAGGGGGTCCAGTCCGGTCCAGCCACACAGACCTGCGTCTGGAGGAGCAGGAAAAACTTCAGCAGAGACGTGTCTTCTGATAACGAGCTCTACACACTGTTCTCCAGATTCGGATCAGGAGCGGAGCACTTCTGGAAGCGCGCGAACATGGACGATCTAGGTAAAGACACCCAGATTCACCCACATGTTGTTTGCAGAGAGACACAAACATAGCGGACAAATAAGAGGGAGAGAGGCTAACTACAGTAGCCAATAGGCTAACGCACAAAGTAACAGTTCCACTGACCGCGACGACACCGTGATACAATGTAACTCTTCACGTCCCATTCTGCTGAACGCGTCATTAGGCTCTGTTACAGTTACAATATTATTAGTCCAGCATGTGTCAAACTGAGGCTGATTTGTTAGCAATGTTGGGCTGAACGCAGTTTTTCCTCTATGGGAAGCATCTTTAGTCAATAAATGTTGGTTATCTCTTTAAAGTGATACTGCTTGTGCGGAATCTCGCTGTTGCACATTGTTTGTCATTAAGTTTCTATTTCTTTTCTTTATACATCCAAAAAACGTTATTTATTGGCACGAGTCACGTCAAAGTTTATCAAATGCACAGCAATTGCAGGTTGTAGCTCCAGGGAAGAGAAGAAAATACAAATAGAATCACAGATTTGATCTAAGACTTAAAATGTAAACATTATCAGTGCATTTTAATAATACATTATCAAAGAGAAAATACCATCTGTAAAGATGCATTGCATCAGCAATCAGAATTGCACATTTGAAAGGTATTTTTGCCTAATTGGACAAAAAAAAAAAAACTTAATTTGAACATGTTTAAAAAAAAAAAAAAAAAAGTCCATCTCTTGTTTTCCTCTCACATCAAAATCCACCCACATATTTGTTTCATATCCGTTTTGGACTGTTTTTGCCTGATCTGCGCAGATTTCTCTTCTGATTCAGATGAGACGACTTTTTCACTGGAGAAAGCAATGGATAAAAGACTCCTATTTTGGCTGGAAGCAATGGTTTAAAGTTAAAATCGTCTTAATGATTGATTTGTTTCTTACAAACACAGCTTTTTCAGTCATGAATTGATGGACTTGAGTCGTGGTGAGGTAAACTATTCCTTTAACGTCAAAAGACATGGGTTGATTGCTGTCCAAACTATGCATTGCCTTTTATTACAAGGTTCTCATTCTGATTGGTCAGTTTCAGCATTCAGCGGTCAAATATTTCTGAATAATGACCGTTGTCCAGGACAACACTGTATAACAGACCACTCATCTGGTCAGTCTTCCGTCTCTCTGCTGTCTCTACAGAGTCAGATAATAAAATTGTTTGATCTCAGATCAGCATTTGCTCAAACAGCAAGGTAATAGGTTTGATTTGTGAATGCATGAACTGCATAGCTTAAATTCAGTGTCAGTCGCTGGGATAAAAGCCTTTGCCAAATGCATAAATGGAAATGTATGTTCATTTCGGAAGCTGTCCTGTGATAAGTGGGATGATGCACAGCTAGCTGGTCATTATCACTTAATTGTGTTGCAGTAATGACTGGCTGACTCTGACATGCGAGCAACAGTACAAATTATCTGACGTCTGAAGAAGGAATATATTTGCTGGTTGTAGTTTAGTGCGTGTTGTTTTGACCAAACAGTCTCTGTCGGCTGGAGAAAGAGGTGATTGTGTTCAGAGCTCAGCTCGTGAATGTGACAGACGAGTGCGTGCCGTCAGTGTGTTTGAGTTTGAGTTTGGATCTGATGCTGCTCTACAGCTGTTTGCATCACACGGGGAAGTCCAGCGCCTCGGTTTGGAGTGGGGGAGGGAACTGACTCACTAGAGGGTCAAAGGGCGAATGAGAGGAGTTTTTCCAACCAGCTGCTCACAGTGGAATTCTTTATTAGCTTCGTTAGAGGCGATCAGTGTTTTGGATTAAGAATTAGCCTGCTGATGAGGCCAAATGACCTCAAAATGTATTTGGACACTTTGGGCCCTCCATTTTAATGAGTTTATTAAGTTTTCAAAATCAAAGAGTTTTCATAAAACTTGAACAACTGATGTTAAAGGGGTCATATGATGTTGCTAAAAATAATGAGGCAAGATGAAAAGAAAAAATACCATCTAAACTTTTCTAAAGACAATAATTTCCCCTCAGACATACATTCATATAAACTCCTACACCTAAATGAATCGCGATTTGTTTAGCATCTCAACCGATTTGAATCGTCACATATTTGAATCGATTTTCAACCGGCTCGCAGTTAATCGTTACATCCCTACTCTTAACTTTTATAAAGAATATCTCTTTGGATTTGAGACTTTAGTCTTTGCAACTTTACAGATCTTCTTTATGCACCAAGAGCTTGTAACACTCCAAAGAGAAAGGATACATTGAAATCGCATCATATGACCCCTTTAACAATAATATGGCCTTATGAAAGGTGTTTTATTGTTTCAGAAATGTTGTTTTAATAATGTCTGTTTTTATTTTTTTCTGGATTCTCTGATTTCAGTTACGATTTATTAACGTAGTTATATATTATGAAATATGATAATAATATTAACCAAATAAATGCATACAAGTTGAACAACTTTTCTTTTAAAATGTAATCAAATGAAATTTGAACAATCCCTATGAAATCCATTTAATTTTTTTCATTATATTCATTTTATTTTTTCCCAAATTCTGTGTTTTTTGTTTAAATTGTTTTGGATTATGTTTTAATCAAGTTGTAATAATCAAAAAGGATGCCTAATTAATTTGATTTCATAAAATATTAACTATTTCATAATTTATTACAATTTGAACAATAATAAGGCCATATGAAATGTTTTATTTTTTCAGAAATTCTGTGTTGTCTGTTTTAATCTTTGTTTTGTTTTTTATTCTAAGTTTTATGATTTCATACAAATTTATTATAAAAATGGTGGCATTCAAATAGTAGTATACAACTTTAACAACTTAATTGATGTTTTAAAATGTAATCAAATTTTAACAATTCATTTCATTTTTGTGGCAAACAAAGTGCTGAACAATTGAGATTTACAGTTTAAATTAATACATGGATGAAAGTTGGACTGTTATTATTTTGTACATTCTACTGTGCAATAGTGAAATATTTGTGTTATAATTTCTTCAAGTTAATCCAAACTTTTATTTCAGTAGTTTGTAAAGAAAACTGTTGAGTTTCTCTGTATATCTGACGATATAGCCTAGTCTTCTGAAATTAAACGGTAAAATGCTGTTAAAGTGACTCTCAGAGCAGCTGTTGAGGTGAAGTTCATGTGTTCATGTCCTCATATAGTGTGACGGCAGATGCTGAAAACACAAGCCTCAAGCGTGCTACAGTATGTAGTAGACAAAACCGTGCCATTCGTTCACACAGAGACACAGAACATCCATATTTAAATAAGGGCCTTTCGCACCGCTTTAGTTCCAGAACTAAATGTGCAGTACTAAAGTACTGGGACGATTTTGCATGAACTATTTCCCAGTACTATTTAAAGGGTTGCATTCGCACCGACAGTGTGTACTAAGAAGTGACGTAAGCCGGTCGACAGCGACGTCATTTGTGCGCGGCGTTCAACAACAGAAACAAAGAAGAATAACATTAACAACAGGAGGATGGAGGACGCTGTGATCGGAGCTGTGTTTTTGTTGTGTCTCGCGGGTTTCACAATAATGGACATGGAAAGTCGACGTATACGTAAAGCGATTGAAAGAACGGAAAGGAGGACTAAGAATCTCCAACGACAACTGGCAGTGCTACATTTGCTACAAGTGCCTGCACTTCAGCGTCCGTCCATCTATCGCTGTTCTCCATACTTGCGAAATAAGTTGACACAATGTATACAGTATGTTTACGCGGCGTTTTAAATCATGGCGGGTGAGGGTGTTTTCGTACGCGTTTGGCCAATCAATGTCTACTTACGTCACGATTAGTACCAGTTCTGCTGGTTAGACCCTGCTCCGGAGTAGGAGCTAATTTGGTTCTCGAAAAAGGCAGTCCGGTACTAAAATTGCACCCAGTTCCGGCGGTGCGAAAACGCCAAAAAGAGGGTAGTTCCACAATTAGTTCTGGTACTATGAAAAGGTTCCCGCGGTGCGAAAGGCCCTATAGTCTTTTTGTGCTTTAATGTTCACAGACACTAGTCCATTTCGTGATTTAATTAAGTGTACAGCCCTAGTTTTGATTTATTCATCCCAATTCTGTGACATTCTGCATTAAACTGTAAATTCTGTTTTTTGTGACTGGATTCTGTGTTTTCCATATTGGGTTTGTGTGTAAGTGTATTAAAAAATGAGAGCCAAAGGAAGTGATTCCTAACGTCCCGACCCCAACACGGCTTCCCTGAGCATAAAGCTCAGTATTCTCCCCTGTGGTGATCCAGAGATGTGTTTATGCTCAAACACACACACACACTCGCTGTTAAAGAGGCTGTTGTGGTCATAATACACAGGTGCACAATGAGCGTGTTGTTCGAGTTAATGCTGTTTCTCATCTGGGCCTCATTGGACGAGTCGTCAAGGTAGTAATTTGTGGGGAATCACAGAACAATGCTGATTTGTCTGTTTAAGAATTTGGCTTTGGCCCACTCAACCACAGACTGCTTGAAACACTAATGCTTGATCAGATGCTTTTTTACATTTCTAGTGGACAATGTAACACCCGTCTGTGGTTTATTGAAGATATATAAAGCAATCTTATCTGTTGAGATTGGAATTTCTGTCTTAATTGGGCATGAACATTATATGCGTCACCACATTTTATCAGCTGTTTAATTTCTGTGGCATTAAAATCTCATTCCTCATGTATGTTAAATATCAAACGCGGACAGTAGAGAATCATTGCATGAGCTGAGAAGCATCAGATATTATCTGATCAAGAAAAACATAAAAGCGTGTTGTATGTAGTTATAAAAAATAAAAAAAAAGGTCAGTAAGATCTGTTAATGTTTTTGAAAGAGTCTCTTCTGCTCACCAACGCCGCATTTGATTGAAACAAAATACAGTAAAAACAGTAATATTATGAAATATTATTGCAATTTCAAATAAATGTTTCCTATTTGAATATCTGTTAAATTGTAATTTATTCCTGTGATCAAAGCTGAATTTTCAGCATCATTACTCCAGTCTTCAGTGTCACATGATCCTTCAGAAAT